TCCTCCTTTGTAGGCCAAGGCTCGGCAGTCTCCGAGGTTGGCCACAGCGAGCTCGTGTTCATCTCGCACAGCGATGCAGGCACATACGCCCGAGGACAGGAAATAGTCCGGGACGTCTGCTTCATCTTGCTTCAAATGGCCCAACAACGCTGCATCAGCCTTTTGAAAGGCTTCTTTCATTCTGAGGCCCATATCTGGCCCCTTTTCCTTTCCCAAGAGCTTTGGGAGTGCTTCTTTCACATAGGTCACGGCTTCAGCTCCGCCGTGGCCGTCGTAAACCGCGAAGAAGTTGTCTTGAACGTCAACGGCATCTTCCATGGCTCCGCGGCCATTTTGCATGACGCACCAGCCATGCTGGTCGTCTCCTCGACTTGCATCAGAAGGTAAAGGCTCGACTTTTCCTCGTCCGAAGCATGGGCACACCGCTCCCATGGCTCAGCAAAAAGGGCGTTGAGATCCTCGTTGGGCACCTGAGGGCCCCTTTCCGTTTGATCCGACCTTACGACAGCAACCCCCTTCTGAACCACATGCTTCTTTGGATCTTGCTTGACTGGTGAGCACCGGTTTGCACCAGGTTCGCTGTTTGCACAGGGTTCACGAAGGCATCGGAACTGGGATCTGAAAAAACGTCTGCCCTCTCCAGGCCCGTCCCCATCGTGGGTGGAAAAACACTGGAGGCATGTGGAAGGTAGGTGAAGCACTTCACGACACGCGACACGCAGTCCTCGCAGTCCTCTCCATTCCTCTCCCCCACTGCTCCGTCCTGCATGCCCCACTCGCGGCAGACTTCCGCAGCTGGCGCTTCACGGCACATCACCTCGCTCCAGCCCCAACGTGATTGCTTTGGTAGTCACTTTCGTGAAGAGATTCGGGCACCGGCCCGGTACTTTTGATGACTGAGATCTTGTGGTGCCCGTTTTTCGCAGCAGATTCTGGAAGAGGGGGTGCCTCTCGTGGTCGTCACAAAGACCCAAGCAGATTCCGCTCGAACCCAAAGAAGCCCTAAGGTCGAAACGCCATCGACATGAAACCCGCTCTCCAGAAAAGAATCGAAAAGGAAAAACACTCCGTTCTGCTTCCGTCCGCGAAGCGCAGGCTCACCGGAAAGTCCTGCTTTTGCTCCACTCCTTCAACCCTCACCTTTCCAAGAAGCGGAGCTAACAGCGGAGCTCTCTAGCTCGCTCCCCTCCTTCAGAGTCGGATCACCTGTTGATCCACCCGTCTCCACCCGTCTCCACGCGTCTCCCATCGCGTCTCCACTCGTCTTCGCTCGGGACGGAACGATGAAGCGCGGCGGCGGCCGTCCCAAGGAGTCGCCTCCGGCGGGGGTCGTTTGGCCAGGGAGAAACGCAAGGTCAGGCATTAGTGGTCCCCAAATGGATAGTGGCACGGGTGTCCAATACATTTTTAGTATTCTTTAGTGGGGATGTACTTTCAGTATTTTCTATTTACTTTTCTAGTTAGGGGTCTGTAATTATATAGGGTCCCGTAAGCAAAGATGGGTTTGGGAGGGCCGGGCTTAAGCAAAAGGCTTAGAAGTCATGCTTGGGATCGTTCGCTGGCTTAGCTTAAGTTACTAGAGATGAAGGGTTGTGAATCGGTCGATTTGCGCGGGTGCTTCTTGAATGTCAGGGCTATAGTAAGTACAGCGTGTCACAACCAACATCCTATGTAAACCCCAGACCTTGCCTGACATGGCCATTCACACCCCCAAACAACTGACCATAGGGCAATTGGGCAACAAACAACCCGGCGTTTTTGAGAAAGGTGAGCACTTGCGGCACCTGCGCGCCCTCCAACCACCGGCCCATTCTTCCGGCGCACTTCTCGCGGTGACGAGCCGAGGCACAATGCGCTCGGATCTCCGCGGCATCGCTCTTGTGCCGACGATTCCTGGGGAAGGCGATGGGGCAGCGGGTTCTCCTGCGACCGGCGACCGCTTCTACCTCTAAAAGCATCCGTGTTCGGACGCGCCTTCAGCGGCAGGGCGCGGACGCGAAGGAAGCCCAAAAATCGGACCCCAAAGGCCAAAGAGGCTCTTCACACTGCTCTTCACTCAGCTTCTATTCTGATCAGACAGCGGGCAAAACCGAAAACACGCGAAACAGCGCGTTCGACCGGGCAGACCGCAAGACCAGACCGGGCTTCTTTCGATTGGATGACCACTGAGGACCCGCACATGATCACCACTGCCACACGGGCAGCCGTGCTGGCACGCTCCGGCACGTACTTCAGCCAAGGCCTCAGCGGATTCCACACATCCAGTAAATCGATTCCAAGATTGATCGAAAAAAATAAGAATTAAAACGTGCATGGCTCTGAAAAATCAGCAGTGTTCTTGCCAGACAAGTACACAGTTGCATGAGGTTCTTTGGACAAGTCGTGCATTGATGGAACTGCCTTCTTCTCCTGACATTTCCTGAGTTTGTTAGTGGAACACCTCCAGGTTGACGAATTTCCTTTCACGTGGAATCATCAAGATCTTGCACATCGTTTTCATTTGGAATCTCTTGATGCTTCGGAATGCTTCTCCCCCAGACCCGACAAAAACAGAAACTGTTTGCACAGTGTAGGCTTGCTGCTTGAAACCAACGACGCCTACCTCATCGGTTTCGTCTGCTCGGGCTCCAGGCTTCTTCTCATCTCGACCATCAAAGCCCTGGAAGACGATCCCTGCAGCCGATCCATCGATCCCTTCTGTCGCGCACGAAGGGTCGCTACAGGCCGCATCTCGCCATCTCGCGTGGATGAAACCACACAACTTAGCGCTGCTTTTGAAGCACCCCTCAAAAGAAACACCTGACAAATCCTAATCAAAATACTTCGAAAACCACAAAACCATCCTTCGAGGCTCGGGCACATCCAACGAATCCTACGGACCGCTGGAAGAAACACCGCTGCCACCGCATCTCGCAGCACTCATGCAACGAGAAGTTTCCCGTCGACCGCTGTCCGTTTCCTTTGCGAAAACCAGCCTGAGTGGCCTTTCAACTTGCTCGACCTCGCTGGCGGATGAGGCGCATGCGGCCGCATGCGGCCACAATGGACCGGTTTTCTGGAGAAGAAAACGATGTCCCGAGTCACGATGTCATTCGTAGGATATCGGAGATCACAGCGGAGTTCTAGACAGAGCGAACCAAAAGGGTCCTTGAAAAAGCTCAGTCTTCGCGTTCAAACTCCCCCTTGTTCCCGAGCTCGCTGGATGTCCAGCTTCACTTGTTCCAGTGACTGGTCATGTCCAACCCGGTCAACCGCAACAGGACCCTTTGGACCGCCAGGACACTCCCTCAACCCTCGCAGTCCTTGGGATGCCAACGGTCCCATGCGAGTGGGCCTCACTTGGGCCTTTCCTGTTCGCCGATGTTTTCGCCCCGCTTCGTGAATTCACTTACCACTTTACATCACGGGATAAAGCAGCAAAATACAAAAGAAAACGTGGACAAGCAGTAGCCACCAACTCACGGTTTATATAGTTAGACGGCACCCATCAAACACCAACTCCTTAAACTGAATGGAACTGATTCAAGCTTTGCAACCGATAACCCGTTTTCAATCCAAGCCTGGAAGCCAATTCTCCCACCTGGTCACGATGATCTGTTCCTGTTCTATTCACCTACATCCCCTGTCCTCGCCCCCTAACTCCCTCGACGCTTGCTCTCCACGCCGCTCACCACGCGTCGGGTTTGTCCGAGCGACTGCCAGGACTTGGGATTTCCATCCACCCAGACCTCAATTCGCCACACGTCGCCGTGTCGCCGTCCGGCCGGCCACGCCGCGACGCGACGTCGAGGTCTCGTCGAGCTTGGAAGCGGTGGGTGGAAGGCATTCGGATGGGACCAACTGCAACGCGAAGACACGACGGACACCGTTCGGACACGTCGTCGTGAAATGGAGTGCGAAGGAAGTGCATGCTCTGACTCTTGGGGAAGTCCTCATCGTCCAAACCTGAGAAGAGCTTTCGCAAGCCGCAAAGGGGGGCCGCAAAGGGAGACATGGCAATTTTCTGTGATTCTTGGAACCGGAATCCAGTTCAAGAATGCATCCTCAAACCCACCAACACATAGCTGTGCTCATGTTGATGCCATGTCTTTGTGATTCAGGTCTGATTGTTCGCTACTTTTTCCGTCCCAAAGCAGTAATTAGAGGGGACAAGCTGAGACAATCAGAAAATGTGTTCCCCTCTTCTCGCAATACTTATTGTCTGCCACCTATCTCAAACAACACCCTGATGGAACCCGCATAAGTGCCCCACGACGCCAGGTGTTGATGGAGCCTCCACAACGGAAAACATGACGAGGAAGGACAATGCTAAAAGTCCATTGTGATCTTGCTTATGGCCCAACAATGAGACGGTTATCATGGTCAAATCATCTGCCCAATTCTAGATTCTAGAATGTGTGGGACTACCATTCTGGGAGGTTGACCTCGGGAAACACCAACTGATTGAATGGTTGGAAGCCTAGGGTAGGACGAAAACTCGATATTGGACGGCTCCATCTCACTCACATGCTCTTCCAAACCACTTTCCAAACCACTTTCTTGGAAGGCTAGGACAGGATTCTAACAGACAGGATTCCAACAAGCTGCCACACACAGATTCTGTTCTGGTGATGAGCTGTCCAAAAATCATGAGCACCAATCTTGCAGTGGAACTGCAAACCAAAACCATTGTTCTTTCGTGACAAATTCTCACAGTCCATACGCCCATCTTGGCCCACAAGACCTCAGAAAGAATGGGTATTGACCATCGAGATGTGGAAGGCACCATCTTAGATTTGGATGACATCGCCCCCTGAATCGGGCAAACTGCACAGGGAGCTGACTTGCATCTGCAAGGGAGGCCACACGCCGACGCCACCCAGTGACCCCATGCCAGGCACGGTGACCGCCAGGCCAAAAGCCGTCTTGATGGCATATTTGCTCCTAGTAGATTCTTGTTCCTAGTAGTAAGGCCAGGAGCCCCTAGTAGCATTCTTGCTACTAGTAGCGATGCCAGGAGCCCCTCGTAGCTTATTGCTCCTAGTTCAAGATGGCTTTTGGCCTGACAACTGCCAAGTCTTTGCGCGCCCTGCTGGGATGATGCATCAGTACCCAGCGCAGCAGGCTTCGGAAGCATCAAGGGTACAATCAATTGTGAAAGAGGACTTCTCTGTGGAAGCTGACACCAAGTTCATCCTCCTCTGGCGCCAGCTTCGAGAGAGGTATGACCAATAGATGCTGTCCAGTCGACCAAGAAACAGCGTCAGAGAAGCCTTGATTGTCCAAACAGGATCCCTTTGCACGAACAACGCTTCTGCGAAGCTGTCTCCTAATCAAAGGACGTGTGGAAAATTTGGCTGTCAAATTCTTCATGCGCCCCTCAATGACTGATTGCATTGACCTGACAATCTTCTTTCCTTGGACTTCTCCAGACTTGTTGGACATTCCCAATGAACTGCGAGGCGCGGCTCGGTGCCAGGTCGCCGGGCTCGCCGGGCTCGCCGGTCATTTCGCAAACAAAGCGCGGCGACAGCACGAGGAGTTGGACCGCACCACGATGTCGCCGGACAGAAGGTGAGACCGAGCCGCCTTGTGGCAAATGGCAAACATCTGCGCTGGTCTGTCCCAAAAGCTTCGGGAGCTCAGAGCTTTGACCAAGCTTACAGCTTCGCCCGGCGTGGCCGTCATACACTGCGAAGAAGTTGCCTTCCGCAGTCGACCGCATCGACCGCTGAGTGCGGCCGTTCACTTTCACACACAAAGGTAGCAGCTGGTCGTCTCCTTCGCTTGCAGAAGGTGCCAGCTCGCCCGAAATCCCCGAGACGAGGAAACCAAAGCTCCCATGGCTCAGGGTCTTGAGAACCCGGAATCGAGCTGCTCAAGCAAATCTGGGTGGCAATTACTAGTTGTTCTATAATTAACGAATGTCAATCAATATACTTTAGACAGCAGGCTCAATCAATCCGATTACAGTAGATGCTGCTCTGGTCTTGTTTCACCTCCACTATTGTCATCATCCAAAGCCATCATGTCATCTCATTCCCGATGATGTTTCCCCGCCTTGGGCGGAGACAGCGCGGCTTTCGCTGCCGCGGCTTTCGCGGCAGGGGGGGCAGCTGCTGCGGGGTAGCCTGGCCCGGCGCTGCGGCGCTCCCCAAAACACTGTGTAGAGGCAAGTATTTGATCCCATTCAATCCCTGTGCGACAAGGCCACTGATTGAGTGGTTATATACATATACAGATTTGCACGTCCAAATCTTGTGGATTTGCAACTCGCACAAGTTCACGAAGTTGAATACTAGGAAATTGTTGCAACAGGGAATCAACCTGCTAGCCACTCAATGCAACGACAATGTTAACAATGTTGGTGATGTTAATTATTCCAGTGGAATTGAAGTTTGACTGCAATATGATTATATCTAAGTATCAGTATTGAAAATTACAAACAATGTTTCGAATCAAGAATGACTGCACATGTCTTGGATAGTCAGGGAACTGAACTTGTCAAAGGCCAAAAAAGGGTTGAGGGAGCAAACCTGGAGGAGTGCTCATAGTTTGGCAAACTTTTTGGCCGTTCCCTGGAGAGCTCCCGCACGTCACACGTACGTCACGCGCGCTCCGAACGGCCTGCTGCAGCCTGACACATGGTCGACATGGGCGAGGGAACATGGCCGTTTGTTCACTCAGGGAACGAACTGAAGGTTTACCCCATGGTCGAAATGGCTTGCCAACTCAAATTCGCTACGCTGGTCTCTTGCATGCCAGCGACAGCACAACTGCGCTGGGCCGTGGTGCACGGAGCTGGGTCCGCCTTCCCGGGAAACAGGTGCTATGACTTCCTCCAAATGGAACCCACATGCGGTCAAGCCTCGTAAGCCTCGGAAATTTGGTGTTCCTGGAGACCATTTTCTGTGAGTAGACCTTGAACTTTGGCTTCACATCATTCAGGTTCAACAAACTGCATCCTCATGGGACCTTGATGTTGACATACTGACCTGTCGGTTCATGTCATGGAATATTTCAACTGCCTGTTCTTGTTTTCCAATATGTATAGATGTTATAGTTCTGAAAAAAGAATCATATCCCAATGCTCAAATCTCAAACCCACACGGCTGCGGCGTTGTCGTCACGCCGCGCCCCTCACCTTCGGCTCGGGCGCAGGCTCCGCAGGCTCGGGGAGGGGCTTCGCCTGGCTGATGACCAGCCCTATATACATATATATATATACCTGGAACCTGATTGACCTCTTTTTTGGAGTACCAACCACCCAAAACATGGTCCAACTTCCTATCAAAACAAAGGTCATGTCTGGGTTCCAGGTAATTATGTGTTTCATACGCCTTCATGAAACAAGAATCCTTTCTGCGACCAGGAAAGCAACAACGATGCGTACACTTGTCATCGATCCTATATATATATATATAGCCAGCTCCAAAACCGGAGCCCGCCCTCTTCCCATCAGCCAATGGCACCAGGGACGAAGGATTCCAACCGGGCTCGCTCGGTGATGTGGGAGCTCTTCGTACCGGTATGATGGCGACACACTGGCGACTCTGGACAGAGTGAATGTGATAGATGATCAGGTGCATCCATGGGTGTCTGTATCTCTTATACGCACATCCACTGCAAAGAAGAAGGCCATCCCCCCAGAAAGCACTATATATTTATAGATATTTATATAGAGGCTTTCATCAACTCTACTGCTCTTGTATACAGCACGTTTCCTGACTCCCACACCGGACGAGATCGTCCCTCACCCCTTTGAAGCTCCACCTTCGGCATGATCACCGTGGCAACGGCCTCACGGCTAAGCTGTTCAGAAAAGGCTCCAGACTGGAGCGTTTCATGACCCAAACCCCAAGGGCCTGCCCTGGGGATGGCTACGGGTTTGGGGTCATGGAATATTGACAGCTGTGTGAAATTGTTGGTTGTGCTCATTCTTGTTGACATTCCCACCCAAACACTGGCTTCCCCCGAGCTAACGGTTGAACCTGGCACTTCTTGACCTTGCCCCGCCACGCCAAAAGCCGGTCCAACAGCGCCCACGCGAAGAACTCACTCTCCACGGGTCTCCCATGTCGGCCAAGGAAAACTGGAGTCCACGGGGCGAGGCGAGGTCTGTTGATGCCATATGATGGAGGTGTGTCGATGCCAAATTAGCCTCAAGGCAGGGGTTGTTGTGACTCACTCGTCGTGATCTCTTTATATAAATGGATGCCGAAAGATGCGGTCACGTGCGATATCCCCCTGGAAGACGAGCATCGGTGGTACTTTCTAAAGGACATGAATCTTCCAGAAGTCCACTTTCAGCCTCTATGTTCCTCTGTAGGACCTAGTGTCCAAAAAAGACATATATAGTTCTCTTTGTCTTTAATACAATATAGTAAATTCGTTAATAATAGGAAGAATAGAATAATATGGTTTTTAAAAAGATAAAAATGTACCCTATGCCCTGCGTTCTGCCCAGTCTTCTCCCACATCGAAAGCACGGCCCAACCTCAGGAGGTGGGGGCGCTGAAGGTGCCGCGGACGGCTCCTGCGAAGCAGGGACCACGACGGCGCTCCGGTCACTCCAAAGTGCTCCGTAGCTTCTTGCTACTAGTAGCAATGGCCTCCACCCTTTGTTCGCGATGGCCTCCCCCCTAGCAATCCAACCCAACTTGAAAACCAATTCTCATTTCTGGTGACATTACCAATGTTAACCTTCCACCCCGAGCTTCATTACGGAGCCTCACGGAGAGTTTTCTCAGAAAAAAATGAAAGCATACAGCAAACACGAAGCTTCACCACTCTGTGTGGTCTCATCCCCTCATTTGACCCACCATCTTAAAACACTTCCGCCATGACAGGTCAACCTGTCGCGGGTTGCGTACGCGAACCTCTCGGCTCCAGCTCGATCCGCTCCGCGCCTTGCTGCCGAAGATCCGGCCCAGGAGACCCGGACTCTTGCCCTTCGGCTCCAGGTCGACCGACACGTCGCCCTGGCGGGATCGGAGGGGCGGGGCGGTGGAAGGCAGGCGAGGTCGACTCACGGTCGGAAAGAAGGTGAGGGTGCGCAGATGGATAGGGGGCAAGTGAGGGTGAGGGTGATGGCTTTTTGGGGGAGGGTGACCACAAAGACTGGGGAAAGGTGTATGAGAATCAGCAAATGGAGGAAAGACAAACAACATGTCTCCATGCGACGACGCGAGGGATCAGCAGCAAGTCTGGTGAAGCAAGCGCATGCGGGCGGAGATCCCTTTAGCCTTTAGCATCATTGATCCATTTCCGTGATACACCCAGCACAAAAATGCTGACAAACATGCCTTCACCCCATGTCATTCTTTAAATCCAGGGTCACCAGTTCTCCGGGAGCATGCCCAGTTCTCCAGTTCTCCATGTTTGGAGCGCAAAAGATGGATCCTTTTTTGTGCCCAACTCCCAACAAACAAACATCAGATTGGGGAAAGACTCGCGAAAAGACTCCACCTCCTCTTTGAAACCAAGCTCCGGAGCCTCTGGCGGCCCATCGGGTGGCGGTGGAGGAGGGGACTCCTCAGGCCGCGTGGTCAACGCGTGGTCAACGCGTTTGGGCTCGGTGAGGACGGGGGTGCGCCTGTTGAAGGTCGGCCTCCGCTTCAACAGTTGAACCGACGTGGTGAAGCTGGAGGGCGCTTTCGACTCTTCTCCTTGCAGATGACAAAGGAATGTAATTGAAATGCTCAAGAGTTGAATGGCTTGAGGATGGTGAAGCCATGCGGTCCACCCCCCTCTCCAGCTGGATCCTGACTTTCACCGGGTCCAGCGGATCGGCATGTCCGGTCGAAGAGGTCCAGGGGATCCCGAACTTGGTTCCTCCATGCTTGTGGCACCACCTCCTCCACCAGGGCCCTTTCCGGGGGATTCTTCCAATGTGATTTCGCACGACAGACCAGGCGATTTCGTATCCACCGCAAAGGCCACAGAAATGGAAAGCACCCCTCCAGCCCATCGCTCCTCGGGGATAGCCTCCGCTGCCTCAAACAGCGTGCGGCAGAGAGGACCCACATGAGGACCAACACAAGACCCATGCGTTCAGCGAAAAGTCAAACCAACCACTGTTGAGTGATTTGGGCGTGAATCAAACATGAACACGTTTAAAAAAACAAATAAATAAATAACAAAAAACTTACAACTGGTTTTGGGACATCCCAAGTTGGTTCACAAGACTGGGATGTCCCATTCGGAGATGGGAGACTTGGCCCTGCTCAACCCATTCGGCCGTCAAGAGCTCACCTCGAACAAAATCTCGTGGACTCCCAGACTCCCAAAGTTAGTACCAAGTTACGTATACCAAACGTCCACCTTGCCAATGGTGTCCAGGTGTCCAGGCTTCTTGCCATCACACCCACTTGCTCTGAAGGAAAAAAACCGTTGTCAACACTTTGCTTTCCCAAGACATTTTCTGCTGGTGAGATGAGTGGAGAGATGGGTGGAGCAAACAGGATCCGAGTCCACCAAAGAAAGACTCGGGTGTGACATAGACAAACAACCTCTCGCAAGCGCAGACTCGAACGAGGGCTCAAGTGCAAATAACCTCTCTCTCTCCTTTTCTCAAAGAATGACCACTGACTGCTCTCGAAAAATCCACCACATTGGGTCACCACAAAGTGAAAGATGTGGATCGCACCCCCAACAATCCTGCAGTTGGTTTTCTGATGGTCTCTCACTTTGCGCACCCAGCCCTAGGTGCGAAAAACGTAAGGAACGTTCAAAACACCACGGCCCTGGCTCCCGCAGCAGCCACCCTCCCATCAATCCCACCCTCACATCGATCCCACCTCTGCTGCGGGCCTCAGATCGACCCCCAAGAAGGGACCAAGCGGCACTAGTAGTACAGTAAAGCCCTTGTTAGTAGTAGCTTCTTGCTACTGGTAAGTCACACTCATCCTGGAGCTGGTGTTGGGGATGTTCTAAAAAGAATATTCACCAGGATTTGTGTAAGATCATGTGAGATCATCTGAGCGCGAACATTTAAAAAGTGTGCAGTCTTAG